ATTTTTAGATGTTAAATTTTATTTAGTTTTCTTTTAGGTGTTGAAAAACATTCTCCTAATGTTTATGAACTTGATACAACTAATTTATCATTATGGTATGAAAATGTTGAACAACGAGCTGAAGCTATTATTGATGCTTTTTTAAAAGTAAATATTTCTTTTGTTTTTTTTTGTTATATTCATATGTTTAAAAATAAATAAATTTTTATTAGGATGAAAAAATTCCATTTGATGCTCTTCCAAAAACTCCAATAGATGAACCTGTTTATGAACAAAATACATGTTTAGCATGTCAACGTGTATTTCATATGAAATCACAATGGCTTGGTAAATATTTCATTTTATTTTATTTTATTTTCAATATAGACTTACTTTTTTCATGCTTTTTCTTTTTAATATAGATCATTTAAAAAGCAAACAACATAAACGAGTACTTCGTACAACAGATCGAGCAGCATATCGTCAAAAATTGAATAATGCTATACCATCATTATTGAACACACTTGATTTATTAGAAATGAAAAAAATTTCTGAAATAGAGAAAAAGAATGATGAATTTGAAATAGATAATGAAATGATAGAAACTTTAGAAAACAACAATTGATAGATATTTGTTATTGTTTATTGTTTGTTTTTGCTTCTAGAAAGAATATATATATATATATTGTTTTTTTCGAAACAAAAAAAAACTATTCCGTATGGTGAATAAAAGAAGCAATCTTATCGAAGTAAGAGAGTGAGAGAAAGAAACATAAGTCAAACTAAATATTAATGCAACTAATATGAATATATTCATAAATCATTTCGTCAATTTTCGTTCTATTGAAGTATCAAACGAAAAGTTTTCGATTGTGTTTGGAAGATCTTACTAATGAGGGAATCTCTTCAGATAGCAAATCATTTTTTGATAGAGACAATGTTCATTTGATGAGTTTTAGTAAATAATAGAAATTTCTAGGATGATTTGGTTTTTTGTTCTTGAGATATCGAAATTTTACTGAATTTTTCAACAAAAACCAGTGTTACTCTTCAGATCATGCGAAAATTCAAAAGCCAATGTTTCGCGTAACCTAACGTAGGCCACTGATTTTGGTTGAAAAATCTGGTAAAATTTCAATATCTCAACAACAAAGACTCGAAAAACCAAACTATTCTAAACTGTTCTACTATTCACTAGCACTCATCAAATGAACATCATTTTCGTCGAAAAGCAATTTGACATCTGGAAAGATTCCTTTGTAACATGAAGAAATATTGTCATGCAAGAACATAACTAACATATAAGAAACAAATATTTATCACAAAATTAAACATTGAAATAATATTAAAGAGCTTGTAAAACACACATTTATGTTGGTATTTAGTTTAGATCATAAAAACAAATGAAAATTAAAACATGCAGAACAAAATATAATTGATTAGTTCGATTTTTATTCAACAGTTATCACAAATTATATATGAGAAATTTGAAAGTTTTACTAAAAATTTCAATATTTTACTTAACATCAAATAGAAGAATAATTGATGATCAATTAACCTTGTGAACATTGATTTTCTTTCAATTGACAGGGGAAACTCTTTCAAGTGAAAATTCCTTTTTTTCAAGTTCGAATTCTGTGCATAAGTTAGACTTCAATCAGATATAAACAATCTCATACAAGATAGGCACTATTATGTTTTCTCTTCAGACTTAGAGCGATTTTACCAAAATTTCAGTTTATGATACAGTACATACCAACAAATTGGATGGGAATATTTCGATGCGAAATTATTTGTCTACAGATTGGCCTACTTGTATGTAAAATGACCTGGAAATTTAAGTTCAAATGAATGTTTGTTTTACAAGATATGGAATTTCCAAAAGTCCGTCCTATCTCACGAAAGCTACAAGAATCTTATGTTTTTTGAAGAATCAATATGTTATGAAGAAGACATTCTTTTAGACTGCAATTTGTACAATATTCTAGTTAAAAAATAGGTCTATCTGAAGACAAAAATTTCACAATGAAATATTGCCATTCAATTTGTTGCTATAAACCTTATCATAATTTGAAATTTCAGTAAAATGCCTATCTCTCTAACGGGAAAGCATAAGGATACTTATTCTGTATGAAGTTTTTTCATATCTGATTGAAGTCTAATTTATGCATCGAGTTTGAACTAAGAAAAATCTATAAATCACTTGAAATTATTCTTTTGCCATCTAGAATATATCATAAACTATTATAAGATAATTTAAAATTTGGATAAATAAAATCTCAAAAATGATACTAGCTAGTTATTTAGTGTTAGACTTGATTCTTTCTAATCTAGATTCATACTAATGATATTCTTCACAGCTGAAAATTAAATTTGAATTATTTATAAGCAGATCTTTGTTCTCTTATATTTCGAAAAGATTATATTTTTCTCGAGTATTCTCTTCTTATAAGATAAAATCTGTCATTTAAATCCTAACCGAATTATTTGTAATGAAATATGATTGAGTTTAATTCGAAAATTCATATAAAAAGTTAATTGAATTCTTATATTCTAACATATAATCAATAATCATTTGATAGTCATTAATTTGATTCGCTTTTTTTGTCATTAAACAAGTCGAAATAAATCCAAGTTTAAATTATTTTTATAATATATTGTCCAATCCATCATATGATTTTGATTTAACAATAAATAGAAAATAAAATAATAAATCGTTGTTACACAAAAAAAAAAAGAAAAAATACAAAATGTCATCATTTTCGAATAGTCTATTTTTTTTACCTTGCTTTCTCTTGCTCTCTTCTATTATTTAGATGATTTGTTTGTTAATATTATTGATTTTTATTTCAGAGACGTCTCTATGAATATGCATTACATGCTGTTTGTTCTCCATTTCGTGTGGCCGAGTCAGGAGCAACAAAGGATCAACTTGCTGCACATGTTGCTGAAGTATATTTAAAATAAAGATTAAATAAAACTAAAGATTTTCATCTATATCTTGATAGCTTTTTAATGTTAATCCTGAAGAACATGAACAAAAATATATGCGAGCTCTTAAGTTACAAGTAAGATTATATCTTTTTTTTTTCTTATTTTTCAAAAACAAATAACCTTTGTTCTATGTTATATTTAGCCATGTTCTATTGTTCTATTTGTTGATGTTAAGAAAGCACGTAATTTACTTGGTGAAGATCAAAATGGTTTGTTTTTATGTTAAATATTTTTCATTTTTATATATTTCTTCTTTGAAAAGGTCTTAGTGATCCTTATTGTAAAGTGAGTGTTATACATGTTCCAAATAATGAAGATGATTCAAATGCATTAACATCATCGTCATCATCTATATCATCTTCATCATCAACTAGTCGTTCAAAACGAAGTTCATCATTATTTTCTAGGGCTACTGCATCATGTATATTGAGTTGCAATAGCTTTTCATCGAAAATAATATTCATATATTTGGTTTTTTTAAATTTTAGCTTCAAAAAATATATCAAAACCACTAACGATAACACATAGCCGGCGAAGTGATAAAAGTAGTAGTAGAAGCCGTTCAGCAGATTGTTCATCAATAGCATCATCTAATAATAGTGAAACCTTGAAAAGTATTGTTTATTGTACAAAAGTTCAACCAAAAACTATTAATCCAGAATGGAATGAACATTTTGAATTGTATGTTGTTTATATTGATCTAGAATGTTATTTAATTTTGGCTAATTTTACTGTTTTTTTTTCTTTTCATTATTTATCATCTCGAAAATAGAATATTTATTTTTTTAATCTATTTAGTGAAATAGAAAATCTACAAGAACAACAGTTACATATAAGGATATTCGATTCAGATCGTGATCAAGTACCAGGATTTACAACAGTTGTTCAACAAAAACGAGGTTTTTCACGGTAAATCTTGTTTTTTTTTGTTTTAAATATATTCCATTTTTATTTGATTATTTTAGCAAACTCTTAAGAATTCGAAACTACATAACAACAGGTGAAATTGAAGATGATTTTCTTGGTCAAGTTAGTCTTGACATTAAAGTGATTAAAAATTTTGTTTTTTTTGCTACATTTTTTCAATTAAATACTTTTTTATATTTCTAGTCATTAGCTACATGTGATCGTGAACAATGGTTTCCTTTAACAGGATTAAATCAAAATCGTTTAAGTAATAGTAGATCAAGAGGTGAAATTCTACTTGGATTAAAAGTTCATTTTAAATTGGTAAGTAGAAAAAAAATTGATCTAAAGCTTTTTTTCTTATAAAGATGATCTTCAGAGTGATCAAATCAATCGGCTTACTGAATCTTTATATTCTCATTCTCGTACTATTTCAAAGGTTATCATCATTTGCTCTAAATGCTTTTGCATGATTTTTAAATGAATAAATGATAATTAGTCTAGATGTTTTCTTTTTATTTTAGTTTTTAAAGAATATATTTATCTTATCTGTTTTTGTTTCAAGGATGATAAAAGTACAAAAATTCGTCGACATGTATCAAGTGGTACTGTGTTAGAATTTCGTCGTCGTCATTCATCATTATCATATGCTAATCCAAAGAATTCATCAATTATATTACGTTCAAGTATTTTTCGACAAAATTTTCGTCCAACAGCAATGCAAGCTCGTGATTATGCCAAACAGCCTAGTAAGTATATATATGGGCCATTTTAGGCAAAATGGAATATACCCACTTTTCATTTAACTTTGGTTTATTACAAGAGTTATTTTTCTGTAAAAGTTCTTTTACCATTGATATATGCAAAAATGTTAGCTCTTTCAGTTGACTATTAATTAAAAAGTAATTACTGAATATCCCTATAATTGTATGTGAAAAATTCAGGATAGACATTTCGATACGAATCGGATCTGTCCGCCAACGACAAAATGACTGCGAATCCTATTTTTGATCTAAAATATAGAGTTTACGGTCAGCAGAAGCTTCCTTGGATACCTAAGAATAGTACAAGTGTAGACGTTTTTAATACAAATAAAAGTTTAATCTGAAGATACAAAGTATTGATATACAATCTGAGTCTTTTTAATACATGTTTGAATAACGTTTAATGATAGGCTGTTGCAAGCTTCATCGACCATATTCTCTGATTCACGTTGTGATTTTGCATCAGATGTGCAGAATCGGGTTATGTGCAGAAACGCGCGTTTGAGGAAATTTTTGAATCTATGAACGTGTCGAAAAATATTTTTGTTCCATGTGAAGAAAAATCACAAGGTGTCATGCTTTGCGATGAACTCCCTGCCTTTGGGCCGTTAGTTTTTTCTCTTTCCGTTCTCTCTCTTTCTTCATGTTTCATTTCTGTCTTCCTTCCTTAGTTCCATGTGTTCTGCTCTGTCGCTCCGCGTACGTTCATTACATCATGATTCGTTAGATAGCGAAGTAATGCTTCACCGGAAAGATCCTTCGTTACATTTCACTGGGTCCGTTATCAAACAGTCACTGGATGATTACTTTAGCAGGAAGAAGGAGGAAAACTGGTTATTTTATAAAAAGAGTGAACAATATAAAACGTGGAAACTTATATCACCTGGCTTAGTTGTGCTAAATAGTTTATGAAAAAAATAAGTACCAAGATTACCAGAGTCAATCGAAGATCAATAGAACGGGTTGCTTTTTTTTATATCACTCTATTTATTTTAAGTAGCTCTATTTTCATGCCCTTTCTTTATAATAAATATATATTTTATACAAGGAAACCTTGTTTCTATTTATTTTTCTAACCAGGGAAGTTTTTTGAAAAAAATTGAACGTTTGGGGAAATTTTTCCTTTCTACGGCATATTCTGCATCCCTGCTTTGGATTCTTGTTATTAATTTTCTGTTTGATAATGTTCCAGATCAGTTTAATACTGGTACAAATAGTACTATAATCTGACCATTCAGATAGTTCAATATTATGTTTAAGTAGAGAATGCGGTCGATAAAACATGCAATGACTTATCGACAAGTATTATTCAAGAATGTATTAAAAAGACTCAGACAGTATATCAATACTCCGTATCTTCAGATTAAACTTTTATTTGTATTAAAAACGTCTACGCTTGTACTATTCATATATGTTCAAAAAAACTTCTTCTAACCGTAAACTCTATATTTTAGATCAAAAATACGATTCGCAGTCATTGTGTCGCTCGTAATAGGGTAAAATTTTCAGCAAGATTGAACTTCAAACAATCTTATTCTTAAAAGCAGATTTTCTAGAGATCCCGTCAACTCTCACAACAAAAATTTCTATCTTACCATCATCTAGAGAGTCTGAAAACGAATTTGTACCATTTAGAATAAGTTTTGAACTTCTCATTCGATTATAAGAGCATTTTCTCGATTGTACATTCGTACTCCCTTACCCTTCTAACGAAAAGTAAATTGATTTTTTTGAAAAATCTACACCTGTTCAGAAAACACTTAGGATAGAGATTTTCAAGCTCAATGAAGAGTCTGTAGAATGTATAATTTAGTTTTGAAAAATGTTCCCACAATTCGGAAATTTTTTGAATTAAAATGCATGAAATGAAAGTCGATGTTTTTTTTGTTGCGTCAATAACGCTAGTGTTTTAATACTAATAACTCTTCTGAACAAAAGTCTCTGGCACCGTTTTTTCAGAGTATCTGAAGTAACTTAACATACATGTAACATATAAAAATTAACTAGAGGAAAGTTCATTATCTCGACATATATATGTTTTAATTTTGGAAAATCATGCCGCTAATGAATAATCTCACCTATATATTCTTAGAGAAAATCTGTTAGCCCAATCTCTGCGGAATTACAATATGAAACATGACGTAACTACTGTTACTAATCACAAAAACATTATTTTATTTTATCTATTTTGGGATATATTTCTTCACCATCCTTTCACTTATTCTTCAAGAAATGCAATAAGGAAGTAGTTCATATATTGTAACGAGACTTTATTGATATATATATATATATGATCTGTGATCATGTATCATCAACGTTCGTCATGGCCTACTACGGGGAAAAGGAGTGTTTCTAGAGCATCCGTCATGGTCTATGACGTTCTCATGGTTATGTCTGCCACAGTCTGCGTGGGAGGGAGAGAAAGACGAGTGTATATTGTCTTCATCTATAATATAAGATCATCTTATTTTTAGAGGAAGCTCATAGATTTTTGGAAGGGTCTAAGTCCTCTTCAGCCACTCTCAAGTTGCCCCACTGCTGTTATTCCTATATTTCACTCTTTTTAGATCATGTTTCATAAAGTTATAAATATAAAATATTTTTATTTGTCTTTTTTTAAGGTTTTGGAGATAGTCAAGAAGGAGATTTGAGTCGAACTGATTCATGCTTAACACCAGTTAGCGATTCAAAGTTACCATTATTAAGTGAAGAATATCATCAATTAACTCTTATTGTTATGTTACATGAATTAGAAGATGCAAGAGATGCAGTAAAAGATATTTTTAAAATGATGAAATTAAAAATAAGAAAAGTTTTGTTATTTCTAGAGTAACAAAAATCAATCAAATAATTTAGTTATTGATTGGAATGGTTCATTAAATGAATTATCTTATAATGTTCTCACACAATTTCGTATTTTATACAATATTTCAGTTCTATCACAAGCATTTATGTAAGTATAAAATAATAAAGAATTAAATATAATGATATTATATTTGTAAATCAATAGACATTTACTTGTTATTATGGAACTTCGATGTTCAGAAGATTATGCATTATTTATAAGTCAAGGTGTTATTGAAGCTTATTTGAAAATATTTATAGAACAAGTACGACAAAGAACTGATGTTAATGATCTGGATGTTACTGATTATGAAGTAAAATTGATATAATTATTTTGTTTTATCATTGTTCGAAAAACAAAATCTTGTTTTGTATTTTAGAAAACAGTATTTAAAGATATTTTTTATTTATTTATTGATCATTATAAAAAACATGTACGTGATGATGCACAATGGTTTTTACCATCGAGAGAAAATTTATCAAGTATTACAAGTATATTTGAGTATGTTTATATTTGATTTCAATGAAATGATAAGATCAAATCGATTATTTTATGAAACAATCAACAGAAGAGATCGACTTATAGAGATTTTTTCAGATAGAAGGAAAATTTCCTTAATTTTACCAAAAAAAAGAAAATCTTCAATATTGTATCTCATTTATAAACAATAGAATATTCATTACTAGTTAAAGTCAAAGTATTTTAGAATGATTCTAATACATTATAATTATTGATTTATCTTCATTCGAGAATACATATTTAACTGATAAATGAGAATATCATATTTTTCTGAAATATTTTTCTTGATAATAAAAATCAGTTAATCGTTTTTCTTTGTATTTTCTGAGAAATATAAGTCAAAAGAATATTCAAAAAAAAAAGTTTGTTTAAATCGTACAAATGTTTTCTTTTTGTATATCGAATTAAATTTTGAAAAGATAAAATCGATTATTTTTGTGTATTGTGAGAAGTTTCAACAAGACTTTTTCATACAAAAATAATTATATTTGAATCATATAGATCTGAAAGAAAATATATAGATCTTTTTCTTCTATAATATGTATCATTTTTAATAATTAATAAAATAGATGATTTGTAAATAAATCGAACATATTAATTATTTCAAGAATAAAAACTTTTTAGAACAATTTGTGCTTTACGTCAATTAAAAATCTGTTCAGATGAAGCAACAATAAAAACACATCTTGAAGAAACAATCAAAACTCGTTTACAAATGGATATTAGTGATTTATTTAGTGTTCATTCGTTTGTATTTAATGATAAGAATGGTATACAATTAAATACTATTCGAGAATTTCTTGAATTTGTTAAAAAATTAACGAAATCAATGTCAATTATAAAAGAATATCAGAAATTCTTTTTATCATTTAATATGAGTTATATAAAAGTATGTTTTTTTGAAACCAATAGTGCAGGTGATCGAGTAAGATATATTATAATATTGTCTATAGAATAAATTTTATTTTATATTTATTAGTTAACTGAATTAACAAAATGTTTATTAAAAAATATGACAGAATATGTTCAAAAATATTCAAAACCAATGGTTAAAGCCAAAACATCAATATATGATCCAAATTTAATTCAAAGTTCAAGTCTACTTTTAAATTTATATTTATATTTGCAAACAATTATTACATCACTTCGAGAAACTATTGGAACACGGTAGATTTATTGTGTTTTTCATTTATTGATCTAATTGATTTTTGATTTTTTCTCACTTAAATAGAGAATGGTATAAACATGCATTTAAATTGAAACTAACTGAATATCGTCAATGGTTTTCACCAAAAATGGAGTTTTTATTAGAAGGTATTGTTGCACAAATTAGACAAATAATGGAAAGGGCAGTAGAAGATGATAATAAAGTAAGACAAAGTTACATTTAGTTCCACTAATTGACGTTCTTGAATGCATTCTTTTCATGTTCTTGTTTTTCTTGAACGCTAGACAAAATTCTTTTTAAATATACTCCAGCAAGATTCTTGTCTGAAAAAATAGATCTCAACTTTCTGACAAGAATTACATAAACCGAATCTTGTCTGATGGGGCAAGAATTGTTTTGCCAGGCAAGATTTTTGTATTCTTGAATTCAGCCTGACTCTTTTTTTTTCTTGAATCTGCCATAATTATTAGAAAAAACAATAAATGATAAAAAGAATTTATTTACATAAAAATCAAGACAAAGAAAAATGATTAAAATATTTAATTTACATTAATAATACATATATCTATTATTATAATTCGTCTTCTTCATATATATCACCTGAAATCGATAGTGATTGAAATGTCGTTAAGGCGTTATTTTGATAAAGTTGCTTTTAAAAACTCAAAAATCAACTATAATTTGACTCATTAATATGTATTGATAAATTTATCTTTACTATTAAATATTTTTACTTGCTTGCTGTTGACGTGCAACTCATACTTTATTTGAGAAGAATATATTTTGGTCGTTTAAGTGAACACACTCATGAAGTTAAAAAAAACGAAAAAAATGGCAAAAAAATGATGAAACAAACAAAAAAATTGATGTATTTCAAATTCATTGATTAAAATGTTGCTCTTCATCAATGAATTTGACAAAACATCAATTTTTATGTCCGTTTCATTATCGAAAATGCCTTTTTTTTCGTGTTTTTGACATAAAATTTACGAAAATCATAAATTTTTTTGATTTTCTGACTCCATGGGCAATAACTATTAATTGTCGTTACTTAAAAATGAATAAGTTGTATACAGACGTTGATGTATATATATATATATATATATACAGATACATGTGTACAACGACATGACACGACGTGCCTTGAAGATCAGCCAAAAATCTTTTTTCTTTTCTGTCAAAAGAATCTTGTCTGACCTTCAGAATTAAAAAGAATCTTGTCTGACCTACAGAATTAAAAAGAATCTTGTCTGGTCAATCAAGAAAAACAACAATCTGAACAGAATAGATCCAAGAACGTCAACTAGTGTTGTATAAAAGAAAACTAAAGAAAAATTTTTTGTAAGATTTCTCCGGATGAAGATATTATGCTGTGTTCTCAATCATCTATGGCAACTACTAATTTATGTATAAAGGTATATTTTTCATCTGCCATCTTATATTTATATCAATTGAATTAATTTAGCTTTGCCAAGAATGGGAATCAATTGATTATCCTGATATAAATATACGTTATACAGCACTTATTAAATTAACAAATACAATATGTGAACAATGTCAACATTATGCAAGACGTACAGCACATAAATTATCGGAAAATAAATATTTTACTGATTTAAATCGTACAAGATCATTTAATGTTTCAAAAAAAGTTCGTCGAAAAAGAAGTTTATTTTCTTTTTGTTTTTTGTTCTTAATTTTTTTCTTATTAATTTTAGTTATGTATATTAGTTAATGATATTGAATATGTTAAACAAAAACTTCTTTCGTCATTACCAGATGTGTTACATTTCTCGACTGTTGTTGATAAAATGAAAGAAAATTATGATTCAACAGATTTTCAACAAACAAAAGTAACACTTGAACGTTTAATAGCAACAGCTGAACATGAAATGAATGATGTTATTACACTTATATTTGAACGTGTTGCCACATTATTTTTTGTATCTTTAAAAGATAAAATTTCCAAATATTATGAAGATGAAAAACGTAAAAAAGTCGATGTAAGAGAATAAATAAATAAATAGACTAAATTTTTTTTTCGAATATAATTTTTAGTCTATGAAAGATATAAATCAATATATTGATCAAGAAATTCTTGATAAATTATATGGAGATCTTATAGCAGTTCAGTATTCTCGTGTTGCTTGTGTTATACGTCTAAAAGCATTACAATGTTTAAGAGAATTATTACCATTACA